TGTGTGTGCGTGTGTGTGTGTGTGTGTGCGTGTGTGTGTGTGTGTGTGTATGTGTGTGTGTGTGTCTGGAGAAAGGTCCCAGTTGTCAGAAATTTTGGATATTGAAAAAGGGGGCATATTGTTGTGGCAAATACAATGCTGAACACGCTAATTTCTAAATTTTTCAAATATTTTGAGTAATTTTAATTATAAATATGCCACATTTTGTAACACAGAGTGGGAAAACAAAGTTTGGAGCAAAACCCAATTTCTAGCACATGTTTAACCTTTGATGAAGTACAGTATATTGCAAAAATAACTAATAAAATATTTTTAAATCCTTTCAATATGTTATTAAGAAATAGTTAATGTGTGAGTTTTTTTTATGGAACTAAATCTTTGACCAGGTACGCTTTTTGGGCCTTTTCCCCCCGTTGCTCAAAAACAGCTTTGCCGACAACCGTGACCTTTCTCCAGGCACATATACATATTAAAATTTGGGATTTACCCATCCCGACCCCCCTTCACCCCATCCACATCCCGATCTTAGCTCTCCACACTTCCATATATCTGTCTGAGCCAGTGAAAGGATTCTAATTAGCAAAGAAGAAATTAATTGATGACGAAAATCTTGTAGAGTTCTGCAGAGATTTGCTTCGGTCGTTTGACGCAAAATTCTACAGGGGTGGCATACTCATAAAGCGATAGGGAAATGTTTGGTTGCTTTTGGATATCTTACGTTGAAAAGTAAAGAGAGTGTTAAGCCAATTAACTATTGGTAAATTGTATCTCAACCATGACAACGCTGTTAATGTTGTTACCATTTTCTTGTTAATTCTACGACAGCACTTGTACGTTTGTTCTTGACGACGACGTTTTCAGTAAAGAGATAGAGGAGATTTGTGTGGCATCGTAGTGAAATCAGGCTCTCGTCATTATAATGAAATCGAAGAAACCGACATTTTCCCGCCCGTTGGGAAATTTTTATGAAATGTTGTTTTCTTTTAAGTTTAACACACTTTATGTCTATTTTAAAAAACATTTATGCCTGCATTTTTCTGGGAAAATGTCGACCTAAGGCACGAAAATGTTATTCGCAGTTCCAAGGACACTCGAACTTTGGAAAAAGATCCACACCTAGCCTTTTCGGACAGGAGGGGAAAATCTAGGAGGTCCCGTGTGCAAGTTGCGCACTTTAAAAATCCCTTGGTGGTCTAAAATCGATGAGAGCAGGCTTCGGCCGCCACCCGGACAAAATTCAAAATTTCCCACCGACTGAAAATGTTTAATGTGTCCCGCGCGCTTATATGACCTTATGCAGTTGGGAGCGCCGTAAAACACTTACCAACACAAAAAAAGAATAAATAAAACAAAACTTTGGAAGTTACCACTCTTTGTCGGCCATTTTCTCACTCTTTTTGCCTCTGATACCAGATTACCTCCACCTCTATCACTCGCAAATCTCTTGACTTATTTTCAAAATAGAAGGGCAGTTTTTGATCGCTTCAAACGTAAAACAAATGAACAAGCTTTAATTAAGATATTACGAATGGCTTCATAATATGCCCAAAAACTGACGAGCGCCTAATTCCACCGTGTCGTGACATATTTTTCATGGGGAGTTGAGGGTTAACGAAAGAAGGAAAGAGAAGCAGCTGGCCAGGTATTTCTTTCTTCTCGGTTCTCGTTTGAGTTTTAATGCCCCTAGAAAGGCAGAACATGCCATATCAAAGGCTTGGAGTTCCGCTTTGCGTTCCAACCCAGCACCTGTTTCAGAAGAAATTCTTCTGTTAAAAAAAACAAAATGTGTACGAATTATTACTTGAATGGGGTATCAAACTAAACTCAATTGGCCTCCAGTCCATGTGTTGTCGACAGTTAAAATCACTTACAGGATGCTTCGAACGAAAGAGAGAGGAAAGGTGGAAAGAGAAGGGGAAAAGGGGTGGGAGTTGAGATGAGAGAACAGAAAAAGGTGAATGAGATTAAGGGTAAGAGAGAGGGATGGAAAACAGACAGACTGACAGAGATGAGAGAGAGAGAGAGAGAGAGAGAGATAGAGAGAGAGGAAGGAAAAAGACGGAAAAGATAATATTGACATGATGGAAGGAGAAGAGCTGTACAGACAGACAGAGTGACAAGATAGAAGACCAAGAAGAGAAAGGTG